TTTTGACATAACAATAAAAATAAAGAAATAAAATATCTTAAAAAGAAAATCATAGAAAGAGAAAAAGCAACAATATATATATATATATATATATATATATATATATATATATATATATATATAGCTTTTAACTTACACCACTGATGACATTCAGTTACTGGTTGATGCGAAACACCGTATCGATATTAAAATATATCGACATTTACGTAATACTAAATATAACCTGCGACTTAAAAATTCCTTTTTGACCGAAAAGCTTAAATATAACTTTAATTTTGAACTTTCCCCATTGCAATTGCCCCAAACCATTTACGACAAAAATTGAAATGACTCATCGAAATTAATTTAATCAAATAATATAGAAAATTTGAGTGGTTTTTGTTGCTGTTACGATTCCTCTAATTAAGGCAAGCAAAGATCTTATACCATACAGCCTAGTTTTTTTGTGTAGTTTTGAGCATAAAACTTTACATTATGCTGATGCGTCACATTGCGTAGTTCTTAGGAGATTTTAACGACAGCTTATCCCACCAGACAGTTTAAGACAAATAATACCTCAATGCCTCTAAACGGATTTTACAAAAAAACTGAAATTATCACTTCGACTACGATCATCGAGGGACTTGTTACATCGTTTCCAATAGTTCACATGTGCAGTTTTGTGCTAGGGACAAACTGATTCCATGTACGTAAAGTAAGCAACGCATTATTAAATCTAAACGGTAGAATTTGTATGCCTAGAAACACACTTGTCATCCGCAATGCTGTCACACGCGTCCCACGCAACTTTCGACCTGTCTCGCCAGATCGGCGTGGGAACGTGGAGGGGATGTTCATACACTACGCGACGCGTACGACTTTAATATATAGTGTTATAGTGTGTTTCTAGATCTTACGTTCGCAACGCGTCAGACACGTATTGTATACTACCAACGTCTATGGTATACTACCTTCGCTTTAAAATGGGAGACGAACAACTCATTGATTTGGTTAAGCGATATAAAGCCATTTATAATATTAAATGCATTGAATATCACGATTCTATTTTACGCAATGCAGCATAGGAAGAAATATCAAAACAGCATGGCAAGCCTGGTAAGTACTTACTTATTACTGTATTTTTTGTACGCCGTGGTGCCTACCCCCCTGGGAAACAGGCGTGGCGTTATGTATGTACTATGTATGTATGTTTTTATGTGTAGTAGTATATATTTGTATTAAAACAATACTAGCGGCCGCCCGCGACTTCGTACGCGTTTATCCCGTTTTTGCAACATTTTTCACTGCTGCTCCGTTCCTACTGGTTGCACGCAGCGTAATGTAGCTTGGAGCCTTCCTCGATAAATGGACCAACATAAAAATATTTTTTTAATTCAAACCAGTAGTTTTGTGATTAGCGCGTTTAAATTAAACAAAAAGTTAATGCATTTTATTTGTTAAATTATGACTTCTATTTTAGGGTTTAAATGTCAGATAAATAAAACACATCTTTCATTAATTAAACGCTTATTATTTTCAAGTAGGTATTTAGCAAATAATCATTTTCAAGTAGGTACCTAGAAACTAATCATTGTCTTTTCGTGTAATTTGCATTCCTCTTCTCACCATATTTAATTGCCACGGCACCGAACCCTCGCGTGAAACAAAATATTGTTTGAACTTTTCTCTAATGCTGTAAGTATATTGCGTGTTGTTCCTTCTAAGACCATCCAATGTATTTAATGATCGTTGTGTAGTAGGTTCTGTAGATATTTCATCTTACAACTCAAAAGTTGTGCCCAAATAGTTATGAAGGCAGCATGCTGCTAGAACTACTTTCTCTACCATTTCTGGTTGTACCTGAAGAGGCCCTTGAAATACCCGCCATCTTGCTCTTAATATCCCAAATGCGTTTTCTACAATTCTTCGGGACCGGGACAGTCGATAATTGAAAATTTTATTGGATTCATTATTAAGCAAAGCATCTTTGCTGTAAGGTCTAAGTAAATAATGTTTAAGCGGAAATGCTTCATCACCAACTATAACATATGGTAGTTTCTGGCTGTTGATCTTCCGGTATGTTTAATTTCTTCTGATCTAATAGTTTGCCTAGTGTCGATTTTTCAAAAATACCTCCGTCACTGTTTCTTCCATAGGAGCCCACGTCTACTACTATAAATTTGTAATTGGCATCTACCAAAGCCAAGAGCACTATGGAATTTTGACCTTTGTAGTTCCAATAATCTGAGCCACCATTAATTGGACACTTCATGTTTATGTGTTTTCCATCCAGAGCGCCAATGCAATTTGGAAAATTCCAAAAGCGTTTGAAACCAGTAGCTACTTGTTTCCACATAACTTCTGTTGGTTACGGCAACACAATAGGACCAAGATGTTTCCAAATCGCTTCACAAACGTCCTTCACTATTGTTCGTATAGTAGAAAATCCCATGCGATAAATAAATCTGATACTTCGAAATGAATTACCCGAAGCCAGGAATCTGTAACATTTAATACAAGTTCTTAAAAATTTGTAATACAGGATTTAATCTTTATTATTGTTGCAGATTGGAATAAATTGCGTAATTGCTATAATAATGCTATGAAACGGCGCCAAAAGAAAAGTGGCCAAGCTGGAAAAAAAAATTGCGCCTTGGCGGTTTGAAGAACAAATGCCATTTTTGAAGCCATATTTGGAGGGCCGTCCTACTACAGGAAATCTTGATGCTAGTGTGTCTAATGAAAATTATCCTCTTCCATCCCCGGGGAGTCCATACACTGAAAGCCAACCATCCCCTGAAAGCATACTATCCCGCACCAATACTCCTACGTCGAATACATCATACAAAAAAAAGGCAAGTCCCAGTACTGATAATTACTTGGCTTGGAAATAAAAAGCAGGAACTGGATGATCTAGATACATTCTTTTTAAGCATGAATAAAACCATGAAAAAACTCCCAAGACTGGATCAAATTCGAATTAAAATGGATTTGCTTAAAGCCATAAGTGAAGCAGAGATCAAACAACTGGAGTCACAACAAAATGTTTTGAGAACACCATTTGCTATTAGGAGTGACGGAAGCAGCCTAAACCGCCATAATGTAAATTCTACTTTTTTTTATTGGCCTCATACCCAAGTTTCATCAGAAGCGGCTAATGATGATGAAGAAACTGGTGAGGTCGAAAATATTCACTGTTATTACGAAAATATCAATAGTAGGTAATAAAAACATTCTTAACCATTATTATTTGTATTATTTTCTATAGTACCTAGCATAGTTATTTCTGCAATAGAAAAAACAGATAAAACATACCGTAGACAAACTGCTAGCCGTTCTCTGGTACTAATTGGCTTCCGAAGACATGTATGTTCTTTTTTATGTCACATTCAATAATACTATGAATCTCCTCAAACTGTACTTTAGACATACGGAATACATAAAGAATCGGTCTTCATCACATACCAATTTCTTTAATAATGTATGGTATTCACCTCCATTTTCTCTTTCTTTATTTATCTCATGAACCCAATATCTTCTCTTCTAACTGTTTTTTTTTGTACTTTTGGCGCGGAAATTTACATTTAAAAATAACAAACGTAATAAATCGTCCTCAAATTCACTGTTAGACTCGGAAACCATCGTACACCTGAAGAAATTACAACAGCGTCTGATGCCAATATACGTAGTATACGTGGGACAAGTGTGCACACCAAGTCACCCACGTTGCGTTGCATACGTTGCGAACGTGGGCTCAGTTTGTCCCTAGCATTATACGTACCAAAATCTATTTCAAATAATGATTTAAACAATAATACAGGAGCAGCAATCCATCGGCAGTCAAGTTCCTGCCAAAAATTCTTGAATGGGTGTTTAAGAAGTTTTTTAACATTCATGTATAATTTATGTCAGCTAGCGTTACACGCGAAATGAATTATTCAAATTTATACAAAGAGATAAGCATAAAATGTTTTATTTGCTATTTTTGTGAATTATAAAAAAACTGTGTTGTTTTTTCATTATCTGTATCAGTTTGCATTAATAATATATGGGTTTTGTGTTTAAATATATAAATGGTTTAAACAGTAATTAATCAAGTTCTTATATATTGCATAATTTGCAGGATTTTAAAAATATTTAGTGAAATAATTTATTATGCATATACAACTTTTAGATTAATGTATAAAATTGTTAAACAGCTATAAAAGTTATATAACCTTTCGATGTATTAACACTTCAATTCCTTTTTTGAAAAAAGCAAGTCTTGATTACACTAGCGATACTTAATATAAAGTCGTTTATTCCTTCGGACCCGATAATTTTTTTGTTAAATATATGTTTATATATTTTTATAAATGTTAGAGACAAGAATTAGCTTAAAAAGACACAAAACGTAAATAAAATCAAGACAGAGTTTAGAAAATAATCTCAGCGATTTTTCTTAATTAAGATCAATTTTTCAAGCCAATATAAGCTATAATACCTTTAAAATAGTTTTAACGATATGTTAAGTGAACAATCAAAATTAGTAACATCTATAGTCAGTTTAAAATTCACAGAATATGTATATTTAGTCTTTATTAACTAGGTAACAGTTCTAAAACTGCGTATAATAGCCAATGGCAGTTTTAATGTACGGCGCATATTCCAGAATGACCTTTACTATAACGTATTTATAAAACCAAGAAAAAAAAGCAATAAAACAGCATTTTACAGCTATCAAATATAACATAGCCCAGATAATCGGTGGGCAAAACTTGTCAGTCCAACAAATGCAGATTATAAAACCTGCATACAGATTCAAAGTTATTTAGTCACTAATATACACGACTCTTGTACGTAGATTAAAAAATATAGCATTGTCAAATCCGTTTGCACATTAAAACAAATGTCAAAATACACAGATTATAAATGTGTACGTCAGTTCAATGCACATATTAAAACAATTTGTGTCTTACAAGCATCACCGTCGATTGTAAACACATATTAGTAATACAATAACGTAATTAACCATATTCAATTTAACTGCTCGTATTGTCGTCCAGAAACTCGACGTATGTGAAGGGAAAATGGCCGATTTTGCCATTTAATTCGCCCTCCCATTGGCCGTTGATGTTCATTTTGGTCACCTGTAATTCAAATCATTCTCACATTACAATTCGTGTTACCTCCTTAAATGGTCGCTTTAAATTTAAGATGAGGATTTCCTAAGTTAAAAGGCATTTCGCGCTTCCTTCTCTGCTGCATGCATATTTGTCCAGTACGAAGTAAGCGCGTGACTTTCGGTTTCGATGGACAAAAGTTACTTTATCTCAAATGTTTTTGCTTATTATCATTAAATATAGGACCTTAATAAAAATGGATAAAGAATCATATTCAATAACATGCCTTTCTTTTTCGAAAAATGTTATATATGGATGCTGGCTGATAAGCAATAATGTCAACCCACAAAAAGTCAATTTCGGAGATATTGATATGTTTTGATAATGCGTCACTTAATAAACATTATGCAAAATAGTTTTAAATCATATAATTCAAATAAGTATGGAAAATATTAATTTGTATCATAAAACAAATGGGTAATCACGTATACATTATTTGTCAATACGCCGTTAAGCTCCTTAACGCGGTCGACATTCAAAGTAACTCTATCTGCCGTCACTATAAAGATGTGGAGACATGACATTCTTTCGCTAAATGGCAATCAGTTCTATGGCCCAGCACCAAGCAACGTAGTCCAAACAAAAATTAAAAAAAAAAATACTAATATTCCCATTGTAATTACTTGATAAGTTTTACAAACCGTTGTTGTGGTAAATTGTATGCAATACATGCTGAATTCTTCAAGGTAAGTCAGTAATTATTCCGTTATATTAAAATTTTCATAGGTAATTTTTTTATTGGTAAAACTAACAAATTAAATAATAGCAGTTACATTTCAAAGGTAAAGCTTTTCTTTTCTTATACTAAAATAATGTAATTTGGTCCTATTAGATTACCATATTGTTACTTTTAAATAAATAGTAACAAATAGCTATGATAATCGACTTGATTGACTATTGATAAATACAATATAAGACTGTCTATCGTACTATGAGGAATAACATATTCTTGCTAAACAGATAAGGACTTTTAAGTAAAACTTATAGCACAGTTTACGGTGTTTATTCTATATTTTAAGTACCTAGAAATTATATTGGAAAAATTACTATTATTAAAGGATCTGATATTTCCCATACAAAAAACTGTCATGCTTGAGTTATATTGCGTTGTTTAGGTATTATTTAATAGAGCTTCACCACTACCACTAACTTTTTTCTTATTTTGTTCTAGAAAGGCGTTACCGCCAAAATTAAAGGGTCAATTATCAGTCAGCCTTGCGAACTCCAATACAAAAGATTTAAATAAAAATACTGAACATGCCAACTCAAACCTACATATATCCCTGTACGAATTATCTGTTTACTTATATATTAACCGTAAACTGTAGTTGCAATAGATTGTATTTCACCAATCATTGAGATAATCGACCATTAAGAAATAAATATTGTACCAGAGCCTAATGATGTGGAGATAATTCCCTTGAGCTCTTTAGATACAATTAAACTTTGTAAATGATGAACTAAATAATAATAAGTACCAATACAAGGAGATAAAAACAGGGCTTGACTGCTTGAAAACCAATGCTTCAAAAGAAACGCCGACCTTTGATCTAGAAATAAAGCCCTGTTTACCGCGACCACCGACAAGGATCGCGGTATTAATGGAAACGGATATTTCCATATTTGGCTACAACACGAAGCTGGACGTGGTATCCGAGGGATGGGATCTTGTTTAAAATAGTTTATTGGCGCGCATTTAAATCCTGAAGTAACTCAGATGATACTTTGGGCTGATACATGTGGCGGACAAAACAGGAGCATTTCATTGCATTTTCCCTCGAATTCACCTCCTGGAGTAGTAGTAGTAGTAGCTGCCAAATTTCACCAACGCACATCGCGACAAAATTTAAGATACCATCCACATCATCCGGATGCCTAGCGGTCCACCACTGTGCGTTTTACTAGAAGTTTTCTCCCTCGCATGACTACTTTGTGGTATCGTTTACCACCGGTGTTTTTTCTGGACCGATACGACTTACGGATCTTCAAAAACTTAGTTTACTCTTTTTTAAAAGACCGACAGCGCACCTGCGATTCATTTGGTGTTCATGGCCGGTGGTCGACACCATCTATAGTTCGTGCCAAATCGATTGAGAAAAACGGACAATGACCTCAGATATGAGCCGAGTGTCAAAAGGCGTAACTTACAAAATCTCAATTTAGATGTGATAACAATATTTAAATATTGATATTATTCACACTTCTTGTTAGTAGTTAGTGGTTCCATCTGTTGGAAGTGAACAATACTACAAATTTTGAGGTGGTTTTTTTGGTCCCTCGTTTCGAACAGATGGCACTTGCAGAGTCGAGAGGGATCTCTTAGGGGAGGGGGATAGTTCCCTGCGCATCCTCAATATTTTAATTTAGGTCAGCACATACGTTTCGTTTTTTGTGTCTTAAATAATATTGTCTGTGGTGCCTATAAACATCATAAAATCTTACGTTACATCGTGAAAAATGTGTTATATTTTATATTTCAATTTATGGTAAGTAACGCAGCAATTCATTTAATAATAGTTTCATATTAAAATAATATTTGAAGGAATATAATTACCATATTGAGCTTTTGCAAATTCATCCCTTTAAAATAAACAAAACGCGCCTACGTCAGTTCGTTCTAAAAAAACGTGACAATGGCAGCTAGAGATGCGTCACCTTTTTTGGGCAGTGTACGTTGCACGAAAAAATACAACTTTCAATTAAACAGATGTTAAAAATTTACTTAAAGATGGTTTAACTCAAATCACGCCAGATAAATGGAAAAACTGTGTTCAGCATGTCCTTAAGGTTGAACAAAAAATGCGTGGCATGGATGATACAATTGAGCAAACTGCAGATCGCTTTATAATTAATGTTACAGACAGTTCATCTGAATACACATCAAGTGACTGCAGATACTTGAGTGATGATTGCACCGAATAAAAATAAAGTTCTTATATAATATTGAAAATAAAGTTTTATCTTTTGAATAAGTACGTACTTATTCTTAATTTTATATATATTTCTTTTCTATATATTGTGTTTTTTTTTTTTGCATGTTGTATCTCCCATATTATTTATTTGCTTAAATTTGTTTATATACTCCAGAAGATAAACATTCAATGATAGAAAACTGCCGCTGCCAGAACAAATTTGTAGTCAGTAGGCTCAACTTAACATAACTGAAAATCTGATATAGATAAACAAAAAAATTCTTGGCTTACAATTTTTAAATAGAATTACGTCGTGATGAACCATCGAAACTTATCATGAAATCAAAACTCAAGGAGCTACCTCAGGTGATTGACATTTCAAAAGGTGGAAAGAGTCTGAAACAAAACAAGAATTTCACACTTGATCTTCCTATTCTATACCTGAATGGGCGTGAACTATCAGCTGCCAAAATTATATATTGATTTGTTAAAGTTCATTCCAACAGATGCAAAAGAAGGAAGGTTTCTTCAGGAAAGTTGCGTCGGGTGATTTAATGAATGATGCTGAATTCGTGGGTAATTTTATTGATTTTGATATAGAAGAAAATTTGAATGAACATTAAACACTTTCTTGTTAACTTACTAACTAGTTTAATCTGTTGTAATTCCTTGGTTATATTAGTTAAAGCGATTATAAAACAAGTTCTAGATAATATAAAGCCCTATCCTACAATGCGACTGAATAAAATTTTTAGATACATACACACTTGCTAAGCTAAAAATGATTAAGCTAGTCAGAATACATACTAAGTTTTGTAAAAGAGATACCTATTTTTGTTATTATAAGTTACAGTTTAAAATAAAATCTGGTGAAAGCTATTTAAATTTTTGGTGTTTTTCAAATAAGGTAGACGATTTGCTTAAAAAAAACGTTAGCTTTCTTGTATTTTCATATCAATAAGAATAAAAAAAATATTTACGCATTGATCAATAGTATAATAGGTCTATGTATTTACGACTTTTATTTAAGACTATTTAACAAACTTTATGTGACAGCATACCATTTTATCAACATTCGTTTATGCTCCTTAAAATATATTTACTTTAATTAAATCTCGGAATCAGAATTTAGCAAAATAGTGTAAAGTTCCTTAATTTCATCTATCGAATATTATAGTGCGTTTCATATTTTGCAATATGCAATAATCTCATTTTTTTAGAAAATGTAGCAGCTTTTTCTTTTTTTTATGATAACAATCTACTTTCAATCCATTATTACTTTTATCAAATATAGAAAAGAACCGGTGGATATATACTTTTTCAAACAAATTTATTAAGAATTGGTATGGTATGAAATCTTTAAGACACCATTTTCTCAAAATAATGTCCGTGTGGCTTGACATTGTATTGCTTCTCAGCGTCCATATATGGTTATTGTTTAAAAAAAAAACGAGAACTCGAACGTCATACTTTTACTTTTTATCCGGCGATTGAATTACTCTCATACCATGATACCAGACAACAGCATAATACTGCCGTGTTCTGTATGGTGAGCGTAGAGAACCGGAGATCCTTTTTACTGGATATGAGGCATTCTATCACAGTCCTCAGTAAAGTTGTTCAAAACGACTATAAATCAATAGCACGCTACAGACTATAAACTATAAATTTCTAGCGCGCTATTAAATATGCTATGTTATAGCGCGCTATTTATAAAAAGAAAAACCAATGAACGCTTTATCATACAATTCAGGCTTACGACTTTCTATAAACCTAAAAATATTTTTAAGGCATGTACTTTTTAAAACGAAATAAAATTAATTATTTTTTTATTATAATTCATGTAAACGTTATTTTAACTTTAATATAAATTATAAATCATATAAAGGTGTACTTAAAAGTTTATTGACTGTATTTATAAAAATAAACTATTTACATGCACTTTTGTATCTATATTTTATTTACATTTATAAAACGTTAGTTAGGCTTCTTTTATAGCAGACGACTTTGTCCTTCGATCACTTATAAATATACAGTATACACTAACTAAACAACGTCTAACACTAAATTAGGTCGCGCGCGATTAATAGCGTGCTACTAGATCAAATTTACGTCACACATCCTCTCCCAACAGCGCTGCTGCTAGAACCAGTTGCCGCTAGATATTAATACTTAATAGCGCCAAAGCGTCATAGCGCAATAGCGCCTACTTACATAGCACGCGCTATGTATTATGAAGAGATATAATACGGCGCTATGCGCTATATTAACCACCATTAGTCCTCAGGGATGACAACACATTTGCATTTTGATTTTAATGCGCTCATGGGCCACAGCATACACTTATCATCAGGTGGACTGTGTGCTCGTTTGTCTCTCTGATCCCATATGCAATGACCTATTCAACATTGTATGAAATTATGACCCATCATAAAAAAAAAACCTGTGTTTATTTTTAATAACTTTGCCATTTATTAACTTAATACTATTTTGAAATGGGATATCCCCAATCGATAAAGATATCCAGGAAGACACTGCGAGAGAAAAATTCTTCTTTTCGTCGTTTTTAATGATAAAAATGTTGAATGCTTTTTTGGTGTTCAAGCAAGCGAAGATGCTGGCAGTTATTATTATAGTATTACCTTAACAATGTCTCCCTCTTCTAATTTGAGGGCAGTTTTGTCGTACGCGTTCGGCACTCGGGTTTGTCTGACGCGCGCCAATGCGGGGAGAGTGCGCTGAAACATTAATTTATTACAATTATTAACAGTGTGGCCAGAAATAACATATCAAACAGAGTGGCGGACCTTCACTGCTGGCTGTATGAGAAAACTCAAGGTCGCTTAGTGAGCTACGAAGAGAGCTATGTTCGGGGTTTATCTTTCATACTGTATTAACTATTAAAAACAGTCCCACTGGGTTTCTTGCTGGTTCTTCCCAGGCGAGAAGTCTTACCGAACCAGTGGTAAAATAAAAAACTACTATAAATAAGAATTACAAACACAGTAAAAAAATATTTTATTCTATTCTATTTTTTCTCTGCGTGGTAGACTTAGAAATGAGGATATCAGTATTAAACCGAAGTACTGACTAGTTATAGTTCGGTTTCTAGTGGTCCTTTACTGCTCTTGCTCCTTAGTACTTTACCCAAGTTTGGATGTTTATTTACACTGAAGTAGTTTTAGTTAAATATGTAGGTATTAGGTATTGTTTCTTCTTGAAATTATAATGATCATTAAGCGTGGAAAGGTTCAATGAATCGTTAGTTACTTGAATCGTTAGTTACACTGCGACTCGAGTAGGTACCTACATGCCTAATAGAAAGCATTTACTAGCAATAACCAAGAGCTCCTTTGCTCCTTTGCTGGCCGTATGAAGAAGCTTTGGGTCTATCAGCAAGCTATGGTGATGGCAAACTAGGTGTTTCTCTGAATGGGAATCCGTAATGGATATATATATATATATATATATATATATATATATATACGTGGTAGAGCTATATTACGGTTGTAGCATGAATGGGTCGGCTCGACCTGGGAATGACCACGCTCTCACAGAATACCAGCGTAGAATAGCAGCTTAATACTTCTGTGTATCGTATGGTGAGTGTAGAGATCCGGAGACACTTTTTTACTGAAAACGAGGCATTCAATCTTATTCCTCAGGGGTGACAACGCACCTGCGTTTTGATTCTTAATCGAGGATAAATGTAGATGTCTATGGGCCACAGCATCCACTTACCATCAGGTAGACTGTGTGCTCGTTTGTCACCCTTATTCTATAAAAAATATATATAGTAAAATGAATAATGGCTATGGGTCAGCCATAATATATCTGTAAAATCAATAACCAATGACCGAAGAAATACCATCCAAAGGGTACCGGGGTGATTGGAAATCCTATCCACTGGTAATAAGGTACTCCATCTTAGTTCTCAGAAAAGACAATGCATCTGCACCATAACTTTTGAGGTTAAATGTAGGATTCTATGAGCCGTAGCATGTTCAGGAGTTGATTTTTGTTAGACTTTAATGGTATAATGGCTTTAGATTAAGATTAACATTTATAAAAAATATGATTACCTACAGGGCATCCCTATTTTGATGCGGTTTGCTGAAATCGACGCACTTTTACAGATTAACAAAAACATTTATCACAAAAAAATCGATTTGACAAAATTTTTTAAAGTTATTTAGAAAAAAAAAAACACTTTCGACAACGATATCTCTCGAACGAATCTACCGATTTTGATGCGGTTCACGGCAATCGACATCACTTACGCCCGAACTTAATAACGTATCTCTTTTTTAGGATTAATAGCAATCCGAGATTGTACCCTATACAAAGATCGATCCAAATCCACATCCCAATAACATAACTTAACAAGCCCAATCTTTTTTTTGCGGCGATCGCAGTCGATCCAAACAGATGTTTGGATCGATCCGTTTCCTCTCGACTGTTTCGTTTTATGCATAGCGACTATTGCTTCTTTCAAATAGTTGTATTAATATAATAACATAAAATGTAATTTTAGATTTATAACTATTGACTTTAATTAGAAGTTATTACATTAACTCCTTTTTTCTCCCTAAAATTATAAAATGATTATATTTTTATTTAAATCAATGTAACTATGGTTTGAAAACAATCACGTAACGGAACGCCGCCGGTCAGTAGCGGCCGCAGCGTCATCGGTCATCGCTCATCGCGTTTCGCGTCGGTCAAAACAATTATCAAGTTTCACTGCTTCGGTTCGATCACAGTTCGAGAACAGAAATATTTACAGCAAATACTTTTTGAATAATAAAATAATGGAGCCACAAATAGTAAGTTAAATTGTAATACATTAGATATTGTATCATTTGATGCTTGATGTACAACTACATAAATCGCTTTTTATTTCAGATAAAGAGCAAGCCACTTTCAAAAGATGAAAGCAAAGCCTTACTCGAACTTATTGAAATGAGCAAAATTATAATATCTAAAGCCACAAACGGCAGCAGCAATAAAATGAAAGATAAAGAGTGGGTACGAATAGCCGAGCAGTTTAATGCTACAGCAACAAGTTGTCGTCGGACACCACAACAGCTTCGGCTGAAATGGGAGAATTTAAAGAAGAATGCACGTAAACGTTGCACTAAAATAAGAATGAACAGCATAAACGTTAGTTTCGTTGTTTATTTATTTTTAATCTAAGTATAAATAAATGATTAACCATTTTATTTACATTCTTTATTAATTTCATCTTTTTGATTTGCAGACTGGCGGTGGTGTTGGTGAGTATATACCCCCAGACGAAATACTGGATCGTGTTACCAGCTTATTGGGGAATACAGCTAGTGGATTAGTTGTTCCTTATGGGGGAGATAGGGAACCCGAGCACTTTGTAGTGATTAGTGATGGTGGTGGTATCGTGCCAAATGGAAATGGTGTAGAGGAATTAGGTGGTGATGCTAGGGTCAATCTAGAAATCCTAGAGTTTCAGGACACACCAGTGCCAGATCCGCAAAAGGAAATGGTTGTAACCCCTACTTCTCCACATTCAGCAATGGCTCAGGTTAACACCTATGCTGTTGCTGAACAAAATAAAGTTTCGGATACACCACGGAGAGTAACATTCAATGTTCCTAAAACAGGTAATGGTTATTTTGATGTTGATAGAATTTTAATTTATAAGATAACAATTTCACATGGTGTTCCATTCGCTGAGGTGGTGGTATGGTCAAACTTGTAGTCCGCTTTAGTTTAAAAGCAGTGTAAATTGAGGTAAAATAGTAATAGGCAAAAGATATACTCCTTTTTTATTTTAAAAAAGGCTAACTTGTAATTTAATAAATTAAATTAATTTGTATTTTACAGGTAAAAGGAAATTGCAGGGTGATGGGTCCAAATCTGCTAGAGACCGTGCCATTGCAGAATATTATACATTTAAAAAACTGTGCCTGGAGTCAAAATTAGAAAATATAAAATTAGAAAATAAAAAACTTAAATTAGAAAATGAAAAACTTCTATTAGAAATAGAAAATTTTAAGAAATAGTTATTTGTGTAATAGTATGTAAGTGTAAAAAATAATTAAGTATTCTGATACATAAAAGACAGTCATGTCTGTAAGAAGTTGTTAATAAATTCAAGCTTTGTATGTATTCATGATTTGTAATATTAGTAGTTATATAGTTTGTATTTCAAAATCTTTTAACCAATAAAATATGTATGTAATAAATGTATTAAAGTTAGATTAATGTCTTAGTAATATAGTAATTAAAGAGTAAAATCATTTTTATTGAATATTTGTTTTATTTTTACAATTAAATTCACAAAA